CCGTGTCCCCTGCTTCCTCTGTTGCTGGCCTACCCAAGACTAAGCTTCCCACAGCCCGGGCACCCACCCAAGGCTGGGGAGAGCAGGTGGCCCTGGCAGCTCAGAGATGCGCCCCCTGCCCCCACCTCAGTGGCAGCCAGGCCTCCTCTCCTAGGGGGAGCCTGCAATAACACTTGCTAAGGGGCACCCGTCCAGCTAAACAGAAGTGGGGAAACTCACTGCCCATTGTAATAAACTCCCTCCTGCCAAGGTTCACAGCTGGAGGAAGAGAAAGGAGAACACGGAATGGGATAGCAGGGTAGGGGAGGCCTTCCCACGTCATTTGCGGGGAGAATAGAAAAATGGAGCCAATCTCAGTGTGGATGTTTATGCAAGCTGTGAAAATCCTAAGAAAAGACAGAGAACAAGAGGGCATGAAACTTTATGCCTCATGAGGGCAGATTTTTTTTTTTAATGACAACTGGAGTCTTTTTTATGCTTTAAGGTATAAATCACATACCACACAATCCACCCTTCCAAGTGCACAATTTGGTGCTTTTTCGTATATCCAGAAGGTTGTAAATCCACAAGGTTGTGTAGCAACTACTATCTAATTCTAGAACATGTTCATCACCCCAAAAAGAGACCCGTCGCCATTAGCAGCCCTTCCCAGCCTCCCTCCCCAGCCCCAGGCAACCTACTGCCTGCTTTCCAGTCTCTACGGGTTTCCCTTTCCTGGACTTCCCACAGAAATGCAGTCACCGTAAGTGGTCTTTGCATCTGGCTTCTTCGATTAAACAGAGCATTTTCAAGGTTCGTCTACACAGTAGCAGGTGTCAGTACTTCATTCCTTTTTATGCTGAATATTCCACTGTATAGGATATAACACATTTTATTTATCCATTCATCAGCAATGGACATATGGACTGTTTCCACTTTTTGGCTGTTAGGAATAGTGCTGCTACGAACACTCATACTACGGCTTTCTACGCAGACATATGTTCGCAGTTCTCCTGGGTATACCCCTATAGAAGTGGAATTGCTGGGTCATCTGGTACTGTGCTTAATAACCTGAGGATCTTCCAGACCGCTTTCCAAAGTAAGCGCATCATTTTGCATCCCTCCCAGCACTGTATAAGGGCTATGACCACCCCAGAGCCTCCACGAGGGCAGATCTTAATCCAGCCTTTGTAGGACTAGAATAAAAACAGTAACAACGGCAAACCTTTATTGAGTGCTTCATCCATGCAGGTACAGGATGCCACTGCTTCATATGCAGTGTCTTTTGATCTCCACGACAACCATGAGACAAGCTGAGCTCACGAAGAAGCTCTTTTCTGCCACTTTCTAAAAGGTGGTGGATTCTAAATATTGAATACATAGACACAGATATGTAAGGGGAAGGGAGAGAGAGACATGGAACAAGAGATGAAGTGTGGGGCAAGGGGTATACTCGGACACTCCCTACTTCATCCACTGAGACTAAGATGAAGCTGCAAACATCTGAAATTATGAATCGCTCAAAGAAAAATAAAATTCAAACTAAACACCAAGGCAAAAAGGTTAAATGAGCCAAGTTTAGACAAGGGTGGAAAAATGTTAGCAAAACAAATGAGCAAGGAAACGAAGTGGGGTGAAGGCGAAGACTGGGAGGGGTGGCCTGTCGTCAGATGGGGGCCACCGCTCACAGCCCCAGTCTGGAGAAGGGCACAAACCCTCAGCAGGGCTGCCCCTCTCGGGCAGCCTCCGTGCACCGTGGGTCACTGCAGCAGCCTGTCCTCACCTGCTTCATACATGGGATATCTCCAAAGGATTTCTCTTGGGCTAAAAATGGTCTGCCTCTAAAAAACTGAAAAATCGCAGTCTTAACTGCTAGGAAGCTCTGTGACCATGCAGGAAGAAGGGTCTCTGCAGGGGGAATTGAACGCATGCAACTGGTACTAACCCTGTGCCAGTACAACACTTTTTCCTTGCTATCTCATTCCATCCTTGAAGCAACTCTCCCAGAGAACAGCCCACCCCCAGTGTGGAACCATTGAAAGGACTGGGGAAGGAGAGCAGACAGAGCAGAAGCAGTTTCTCCGAGATTATGCGGCAGGGAGGCAGTGGGATGCCCCACCTGTGTCTGTGGAGGTTTCTGCCCCGGGCTGGACTGCTGCTGCCCTGGCCGGCATCTACCTCCCCATCCCAGCAAGGCGACATGTCCACTGCCAAGGCTCCATTGGGAGGCCCACCAATTTCCACCCCCAGCCCTCATTCCACACTACCAAGTCCCCTAAGCAGAGGGCTTGTGAAAAAGACACCACGTATTCCACTCATGGTCCCTCACTGACTCTGTACTGGGCATTCCACATAAAAGTCACTAAATGCCAGAGAAATAAAATAAACAACAGAAGCAAAATTTTCAACAGAATAGTTTATAATGGAAAATACTGAAAAGAGCCCAAGGGTCAGTCAATAGGGGACTGGTTAAATTAATTACCATGCTTCTATATAACTCAATACTCTGCAGTAGTTAAAAACAAGGAAGTCGTCTCTGTGCCGAAAGAGAAGCACAGGATACTTTCAGCAGAAAAACAATGTTAGCAACTAAATGAATGGTATGATTCCATTTGGCGAAGTAAATGAGTAAGATATAAAAGGTTCCACCTACACAGATAAACATCTCCGACTTCCCACTAGTGCACTCACAGCAGCTATTTCTGTGGAGTGAAACTTCAAGTCTACATTTTAAAAATGCTTGTATTGTTTGATTCCTTCATTTTGTTACAAATGCATGTGAATTTTGCAGTAAAAAGGCAATGGTCTAGAACAAAAAGAAAACCCTTCCCTTCCCCTTTCTGAGCACTTTAACCTACAGCCTTTACGGGAGGCAGGGCAGGGCATCAGAGCCTGCAGGCCTTGGGCCAAGGAGATGAGACCTAGAGGAGGGAAGGCATGAGGTGTAAGGGCCACAGAGGGTAGAAGGGGACAGTGTGGGAAAGGGGGCACAACGGCGATGGCAGCAGGGCACTTGGGAGACTGACCAAGTAAGAAAACAGACTAACACTAAAAGGAACCAGGTCTCTCACTGCTGTACAAGGGAGATACAAAAATTGGAAGGGGAATGAACTAAAATGACCCTGTGGTACTGTGGTACTGGATTAGAATTGGAAGTGTTAGTGCGACCTCATGGTTTTCAATATATATGTTAAATATTGAATACATAGATACAGATATATAAGGGGAAGGGAGAGAGAGACATGAAAATAGAGATGAAGCGCGGGGCAAGAGGTATACTCGGATACTCCCTACTCCATCCACTGAGAGGAACTGGGAGCGGTGATACCCCTACAGCTATACACACACCCAGCATTCAGAGCTTGCTTTTTAATATTATTCTCTACTAAGAGGATGTCCAGGGCTAGTGTGGGAAATTATAAAATGAGCCTGAACATCTTGTGCCAGAGAGCAAGAAAGCACACACAGGGTGAGGAGGACATGTCAAAAGGATGAAGAAGCAGGCTTGGAGGGGCCTCCCCAGCCATTGTGAATTACAGCCCACTGAATAACACCTGAAAGCATGAGTCTCAACAGAGACAGACAGGTAGGTAGATAAGAAAAGGGGAAACAAGCAACTTTACAGTGGAGAAGCCTGGAGACACCACCTTAGTCCAGTGATCAAAATGGACATCATCAGTAACAAGTCCCATCCAACCAAGTCCCAATCAGAGGGATGTGCATAAGCGAAACCGAACCGTGAGGACCGGATAGATCCAGATTGAGGGCCATGCTACAAAATAAATGGCCTGTAACCTTCCAAAGCATCAAGGTCATACAGGTCAAAGCCTGAAGAACTGTCCCAGATTAAAGGAAATCCAAGAGACAACACACCTAAAGGTAAAGCTTTATTCTGAACTGGATCCTTTTCCTATTAGACACACTATTGAGACAATTAGCAAACTTAACAGGGGTCTGATGATTAGATTGCTAGTGTGTGCACACTGACTGTGATGTTGATGTTTGCATTATTTCTATTCTAACAAGTACACATTAGCATTTTCAGAAGTTATGGTGCATCAGCTGGCAATCTACTCCTGGATGATACAGGGGAAAAATTCTTTGCACCATACCTGCAACTGTTGTGTGAGTTTCTAAATTTACAATTCTAAATTTACAATTAAAATTTTTAAACTGATATTTAAAGAAATCAGTGAAGATAATGTCATGCTAAATTATCAGATGAGTTCAGACTGTCACATACCAGCTTTGTGTCCAGCAAGCCCCAATCATCCGGCTTTAACTCAGGGAAACATAAATGATTCTAATAGGGATGAGGTTCTCTGCTTAATCAGACCTAGGCAGCAGTGTTTGAAGGACACCCTGCCAGGCACTGGGACTGCCTTCTGACCATTTATGGACACAGATCATGTCATCAGCCCTTGCTGTATCCCTGTGCAGCTCAGGCAGTTAAAGTCTGAAAGTTAGAAGAGAAAAACCGGCCAGCATCACTCACAGCAAGCCACTGTTCAGTGGGCCACTCCTCAGGCCTATCAATACAAAACAAGAGCTGAGCAAAGGGAAGAAACTGGCTGGATTGCAAGTTAGCAAGAGCACAGGCCACACTTCCCAAAAACGTAGTGATGATGACTACTCCATCTCCTATCTGCACCAGGTTTCAACATGCCCAAGCTTCTCACCATCTGTAAACTCACATGGAAGGAGGCTACAGACCTCCAGGCCCCTAGGCTAAGTTGAATTTGTATTACACACTGCATGGCACCTCCTCCTTGGTAGTGCTTGCAATATTCATAATGACAGACAGATGTGTGAGATTATTTGATTAGTATTTGTCTCCCATTGGACTTCAGGGTCCAGTAGAGCCAGGGCTGACTGTCTGTTCACACGAGGCAGAAACTCCAAATATCCATGCTAAATGATTGCACGGATGTGCGGGTGGGTGGGTGGGTGGATGGGTACACGGATGAATGGATGGTGGGTGGGTGCCAGAGATGGATGCGGGTGGACCAGCCTGGCTCTACCTGCTGCTGCTGGGCCCGGAGGTCCCCGATCTCCTTCTGGTCCTCCTCACGCAGCCGCTTCATGTCCTCCCATGACTGCTGCAGCAGATTGCGCTCCCGCAGCAGCTGTCCATTCTCCCGCCTCAGCATGTCCACGTCATCCTTCAGCTGCGTCTGGTCACTCAGGAGCCGGCTGTGGAGTGTGCTGAAATCCCCCCCAACACCGTGAGCTCCAGCCAGCCTCAGCCCCCACCCCGAGTCACCACCAGCCCCTCCAGGTCCCAAGACAGCCAATCAACCAGAAGGGAGCCAAGGGTGGCCAGGCCAGCAGCAGGCAGAGGCAAGCCAAAACCTGGTATCAGTCAAATGCTGGGAAGACCCAGACCGCTTTTTGAAAACCTGACACCAAAAAGGGCACAGGTATGAAGGCCAAGGAAAGGAGATTAAGTCTCTTCCTGGTTTGGACCTGGTACTTATGAGGCCTGAGCAAACACCAGCAAGTGGGCAGGCAAATACCCTCACAGGGCACCAGGAGATCAAAGAGCAACAGGTCCCATCTACCTCTCCTGTGGCAGAGCTTCAGCAAAGCCCACAGACAGTGACTCAGAAGCCAGGTGACCTGCCTGGCCCGTGCCTCATGCTTTCAGTTACTTTCTACCTACTGTGCTTCTGGAGCTGGCTATACATGGTATAAAAGTGGTTCCACACTTTGTACTGAAAAATGAGGCCCAAGGGCACAAACCCACTTGCAGAAGGTCCACCCGCTGTGCAGCAGAGGCGGGACTGGAACCGAACCCCCCTCCTAATCCAGGAGTAAAGAAGGGCAAGAGGCAGCCGTTCCATGGCTGCTGGGAGCCCCTGCCAGGCAAGCCCCACTCACTGGTAGAAGTCGGTCTCCTTGGCCACCTCCTCACACCTCTTCAAGGCATTGGTGTGCTGGTTCTGCAGGCTCTGCAGGTCAGACATGGCCCGCACACACTGGATCTTCAGCCTCTCGTAGTCAGGATTCAGCCTATGGTAGGGCCTGGCCCCGATGGCAAATAGCCTCGTGAATACAGGCCCCAGGATCACACAGATAAGCAATGTCTTTCTCCTGGGAAACCCTGTCCTGGGTCACTCCAGCTCAGTGGTTCCCAAATATTGGTCTCCTATGCACCACAACCACCTGGTACTTATTAAGCTCAGATAGCTGGCCTCACCCAGGTGGACAGAATCAGAATACCCAGGATGGAGGACTTTGGTTGCCTCAAATCCCTCTGTGAGCCTGGAGATTGAGAAAGGGCCATCTTGTTCTCTAGAAGCTTCCAGGAGACCATGCAGCAGGCCTACATGCACACACAAGGCCCACCAGAAACCTATGATGATGAAGTTTCTCCTCTTTTTAGAACAGTGATTCTCAATGCTGTGTACACATTAAAATGCCAAGGCCCAGACCAATTACGTCAGCGTCCCTGGGGGTAGGACTCAGACATCAGGATTTTTTTTTTTTAACTCCCCAGGGGATTCCAGTGTGCAGCCAAGGTTGCTAAGAGTGGCCAGGAGCAATGGTTCTCAAAGAGGGATGAGGAGACCAGCAACATTCATACCCCTTGGGAACCGTTAGAAATGCAAATTCTCAGGCCAGCCCCAGATCTCCTGAATCAGACACTTGGGAGGACAGCAGGGAGGGAGGGCTAACTAGTGATCTGTGTTTTAACAGTCTTCTGGGTGATTTTGTGCATATTCTAGAGCAGGTGTCAGCAACCTTTTTCTGTAAAGGGCCAGACAGTCTCTGTGCCACTACTCACTCTACCTTGGTAGCATGAAAGCAGCTGTGGACATTATGCACTCGAAGGCACCTTGTCTTCACTGGCCTTTCCTTTGTGCCACCTGACCGGGGGGCATGTCCTCATTAAAGCAACCTTAAGAAGCAGGCTTTGCAGCCCTCATATCAACCTAAAGGAACCTTCCTCAGGACAAAGGGCACACCCCTGATGTTCCTAAAGACAATTCCCCTCCCCTTAGAACCCCTACCAGTATCCCCCAGAGGGATAAACTGCACTGTGTCCCTCCTCTTCCTCCATGAAGCCCTCCTGGATCGAGCAAGTAGGTAAACTCTCCCTCTGCTCCACCCTATTAGTATCTACCCTTCCCTAGTATCTACCTCTAAATCCCAGCAAAAGAAGCAATCAAAGATTTTCTTCAAAATAAAAAGAAGCCAGGTGGAATATACCCTCCTAAAACATCTATATGCAGGGAACAATTAATGTGTCTACAAATCACAGAGAGATCCGCTCAACAATGAGGCAGGCTGGGGTCTCCTGGGAGACGGTGGTATGTGTGTTTGTGCGTGTGTGTGTGTGTGTGTGTTCCACACAGATGGATCGCTCAAAGGTTCAGCAAGGGGAGCAGACAGGGGTTAAGGAGGGATGAGTACCGTCTCGGGACTGCAAGGCAGAGGCCTTGGGAGAGGAGTAACAAGCCCAAGGCCACCCAACCTACCAGCGAGAAGGTGAGACTAGGCCCCTTCATTGCTGCCAAGACTACCCACCAAAGATCATCTGCAAGGCCAATAGAAAGGCTGGGAGTAGCTGACGCAAACCAGGAGCTCAGAACGGTGCCTGGTACCTGGTGAGGGCTGTTGAAATGTGAGTTCACTTTATTTTCCTCCAGCCAGGCACCACCAGGAAGGCACCGTCTCTTTCAGGCTCTCCTGCCACGCACCCCCCACCTCCAACCCCGCCCACCCCCCCCCACACACACACAAGCACAGCAATGAATACCAAATATGACGGACACACACACGCACACACTTCTCAGTCCTTGAGTTGTGTGATTCAGGCCACAGGCTCTGATTCTGATTTGGAGGGATTATAAGAAGCCTGTGTCCCAATCCCCCAATCCAGACCTGCAGGGAAAGCATTTCAAAGGGAAATAAGGGAAGAAACAGGCAAGGGGACACCCAGGCAGTGCAGCATGGACTGCCCCTCCCCCTGCCCTGGTTGCTAAGGGTAAATGCCTGAGGGGAGCAGACGCTACTGCGCCAGCAGAGGAACCCCTGTCCATCAGGCCTGGGCAGGGGAGTGGGCACAAGCACTACCTCTTGTCAAAGGTAGTCCCGTGAGTAGAGAAGGCCAGGCGCTTGCGCAGTTCATTCCTCTCCCGGGTCACGAGCCGCAGCTGGATGGAGAGGTTCTCCACCTTCTCATTCACTTGCCGGTCAGTGAGGAGCGGTGGTGGGGAGGGCGCCTTCCCGGTGGTGCCTGGCGGGAGGAAAATAAAGCGAACTCACATTCAGACAGCACTCAGCAAGTACTGTTCTGAGCTCTTGGCTCACGTCAGCTACTCCCAACAAGCCTACCAGGTGGGTCCCTTGGCATCCCCCACTTTCACAGATGACAATATGGGTTCAGAGAGTCTAAGAGGTGGAACTGAGATCTAAGCCCAAGCAGTGTGGCTCCACCACCTCTGCACACACACCCACTCTCCTGGCCCTGGCTGAGGACCCTGAGGCCCACCACTCCCTTTCCAGCCGGGCTTTGACACCTCCAGATGGAACTATTTTAGCCCTGATCCTCACATCCTTGCCTAGTCTGGAAACACCAACTATCACCTACCCCTGGGCATGGGGAGCCTGAGCCCTGAGCCCGGTGGAAGACGGCCTGAGGAAGGAACGGTTGGGATCCAGAGAAGATCCTGAGGAGCAAGGCAGCAAAGCTGGAGCCCAAGGACTGTGCCTCCGTCCACCCCTAACTATGGCTGGACACTGCACACAGCTCTCTTTTCTAAGCCATCCAACTGCCTGATGGACATGCCCAACCAGCGCAGGTGTGCAGACTAGGAGGCGGCTGTGAGGGAGAGCCACCCACAACGGAGGTAAGTATGACATGATGCAGGGAAGTCCTGGGGCCTGATCACCTGTGCCCAGCACTGGAAGTGCCCTGAAGGGAACACCATGCTTATGCTGTCACTAAGGAACAGCAGCCACCACCCGCACCTCCTGTGACAAGATCCCAATCTGCCGGTAAGAAGACACCACCTCACTTAAATGCCCAGGAAAAAGAGATGAAATCCATGGTGATTTTATATTTCAGTTTGTCCACATGATCACCTGATAGCTTCTCTAACCCTCAGATATCCTAGGTGGGGTCACAGGCTCTCACAGCAGCCATCCCATTTTATGAATGTGGTCCTGAGGCTGACTCACCCCAGGAGACACATATTTGTCTCCCCAGTCTCCCTAGAATGTGCCAAGGGCAAGATGCATGTCTTCTGACTCTGTGGCATCTGACCACCACCCCTCAGAAAACCGAGGCCCAGCAAGGTTAGGTAATGGACTCAAGCTTCCACAAATAGCAAGCGGTGCCCTGAGGTGAGAGCCCAGGCAACTAGATTCAGAACGCATGCTCTTCACCACTGTGCCCCGACATCTCCCAAACGACACCGTGAGTAGTACGTACTTCATGCCTGGCAGTTTTTGAAATGCTTACCATACATTATCCCACTCAATCTCCATAAGGAAGATACTGCTGTTATTCCTATTTTACAGAGCAGAAAACAAAACCTTATCAGGGTTAAATAATGTGTCCAGGTCAGAGCCAGTAAATGAAAGCCCTGAGATCTGACCCTCCCTCTAACTTCCTGACCCCAAAGCCCAAGGTCTTAATCTAAAAGTTTACAAACTTTTTGATCTTAGCACCTCTTTACACTCTCAAAATGATTAAGGACTCAAAAGACCTTTTGTTTATATGGGCTATATCTATCTACTGATATCTACCAGATTAGAAATTAAAACTGAGAATCCTTAAATGTCTACTAATTTTAAAATAACCAAAAACCCATTACATAGTCACATAAAATTTTTATGAAAAGTTAACTACCTTTTCCATTTCAAAACCAAAAACTTAGAAGAGTGGCATGGCTTTGCATCTCTGTAACACTGTTTGAGGCTGGATTAACAGAGACGGCTAGAGTCTCATGTCCATGCAGTACCGCACACCATGCATGCAACCTTTAGAGAACTCCACTCTGCAGTGGGGTGTGTGTGAGGATGAGAGTGGAAAGGCCAAGTGCCATCCGAGCATCATTATGAAAACAGTTTTGACCTCATCAGCCCCCTGAAAGGACCTCAGAGACACCAGAACATGCTTTGAGAATGGCTGCTCTGTGCTATAATCAAAGTCCAAGTATCAGAGAAACAGCAAATGTCAAGTTTTGGAACTGTAAAGCACCACCAGGCCCAACAACCTGCCTCCAGGGAGCTGAAGAACTTTCACTACATTTTACAAATGAGGTAACAGAAAGATGCACCTCTTAGCTTTCACATAAGCTGGAAAGAGAGGTAGCAGAACACAAGCAGGGGTCAACAGACCTGTCACCACGCACAGCCACGGCCTCCTGTCTCATCTCCAGGAGGATGAGCCATCTGCTCTGCAACTCTGAGCACCTGGGGGCAGCTGATCATGCGGACAATGAACCAAGTGCTGCCATTTACCCAGCAAAACCCAGTGCTGGGTTCTGTGCTAAATACACTCCATCCTTACCTCATTAATCCCCACGACACCCTCCCAGGTATGTGCTACGATCACCCCCTGAGAAACTGACATCCAGAAAGACTGCACAGCTAGGACACCGGTGGACCGCCATGCAAATTTGGGTCTAACACCAGAACAAAGGCCTTAACCAACATACTACACTACCTTCCTACAGAAGGGCCTTCCTATTTCCCTTCCTCTGCTCCACTGGTTTGAGCATACATGAATCATACAAAAAGTAAGGCCACCCAGGTCTGAGAATCATCAAATGCAGGCTCTCTGACTTAGGGGAAATGCTGCCTAGGTATGCCTCTGTCCTTCCACAGTAAGGCAGGCCAAGGGGGCGGGAGGGTCACAGAGGACCTGAAAAATGAATCCCAAGATATACTAAGCCAGGAAGTTCCAAAATAACAGCAAGTATTGAAGAAAATCCTCTCCATCCCCATTCAACTACTAATAAAGTTTTTCTCTATTTACTTGCACCTCATGGTTCAAAGACACTTTGAAAACAATGCAGTCGTGCCAACTAAATGGTTGCCAGAATCCCCCAAATGGCCAGCCACCCAGACTGAACTCTTCCACACCAAAGGACTGGCCACTTCACAGCAAAGCCCTTCTAATCTCTCCCCATAAAATTATTCTCTGAGTTAAAATCTGTCTCTATTTCTCCAACTGACTCTAGACCTAATCTTCTATGGGTGACAAGGTCCAACTACAATTCTCCTTCTATGCAACAGACCTGGGCTTGAAGATAGCTGCCAAATCCCTTAATCACTACCAAAAGAGCTAAAATGACGAAGTGACACCACTGAACATCGGCAAGCGTGCAGGGACCTTGGAATTCTCAAACACTGCTGGTGGGAATGTGAAATGATACAGCACACTGGCAGTCTTTTATAAAGTTGAACATACACCTACCCTACCACCCAGTAATCCCACTCCTGGGTATTTTTACACAAGAGAAATGAAAATTTACATTCATGCAAAAACCAGCCCATGACAGTTTATTATAGTACATTAATCAACGATAGTGTTACATTCATACAACGGAGTACCACTCATCAGGAAAGAGGAATGGACTGACACAAACTACCAGTACACACAAGAGCAGGGAATCTCAAATGCCCTATGCTAAATGAAAGATACCGGACTCAAAAGCTACTATGTGATTCCATTTAATACTTGAGAAAAAGCAAAACCTCCGGGGCAGAGAGGAGATCAGTGGTTGCCAGAGGCTGGGGCTGGAGAGAAGCAAGGCTCGACTACAAAGCCACAGAAGGGAATTTCTGGGGGTCAAGGCATTTTGGGGGGTGTAGTAGTGGTTACATGACCATACGTGTTCATCAAAATTCATTGAACTACATACCAAATAGGACAAACTTTACTGTATGTAATTTATACCTCAATGGACATGACTCTTAACAGTAAGCTTCTGGCTGCCTACAGGCTCTGGCTTCTGGACAGAATCCAAGCAGCAGCAGAACATGCTGAGCAAACCAAACCAGGCTCATCTCCAGCCCAGGGGAGCCAGAGCCATCAGGAGACACACAGTCCCACGCACGCCCTGAAACACCAGCTTCATGGGAGACCCTATAAGAGATGCACATCTTAGGCACCACCCCCACCAAGATCCACTGAATCAGAAACCTGGGGGTGAAGCCAGCACTCCCCTCCAGGTGACGCTGATGCCTGATAAAGTCTGAGAATCTCTGGTCTGGACAAGCTGCCTTTGCTGACCAGACTGGCTTTTTTACCCTTTGTTTTACTGGTCCAGTAGCCACTGCATTTAAAGGCATCACCCACTGATGAAATACAGGGCCCCCTGACTAGGGAAACCCAAGAGACGCCCTCCTTGGTCTAGGTCCTAGTTAGTACTGGGCGGAAGCTCAGCCCTCCCAGGACTTCAGCATGGAAGGCTAGATTCCAGCAGGGCAGCTGCAGCCTCGCCCAGCACCCAGACCTGCTCCCAGGTCAGCTACTTGCTCTTGGATCTCTGGCTCAGGGTCTGCTTTGCAGAACCCAAACCAAGCTGGGCAATGACAGTTTACTGCTTCCTGGCTGCTCCTACATCTAGAGCATGGTTCCTAGAAGGTCCAACTCGAGGGCCAATTCCTCCCTGAAACTTACTCTGATGCCCCTTGTCGAAAACAGCTGCTCCTTCCCCTGAGCTTTTAGTTTCCTTCGGTTTTTCACAGGGCAAATGGCCGTGGCTTACCTCCCTGGTGCTATAGTCTGAATACTGGTGTCCCTTCGAAATTACTATGTTGTGATCCTAACCCCCAAGGTGTGGTCTTAAGAGATGGGGGCTTTGGTAGGTGACTAGAACATGCAGATAGATCCCATGGGAATGGGATTGGTGCCTTATAAGAGGGACCCCAGAGAGCTCCCTAACCCCTCTGCCATGTGAGGACACAGCAGGTAGGTACTGCTTGTAACCCTGGAAGTGGGCCCTCATAACACTGAATCTGCCTTGATCTTGGACTTCCTAGCCTCCAGAACTTGAGAAGCACATGTCTTGTTTCTGAGGTGCCCAGTCTGCAGTATTCTGCTGTAGCAGCCCGGGCAGACTAAGATACCTGGCTCAGACTATAACATCAGGGCCCGGGCCTCTCTGTGATCCCTTTGGGCTCCGAGCACAGGCTCCAAAGAAGGTGCTCCTGTTCATCTGATAAACTGAGAGAAAACAAGGCCCTGATCCAAGAGACCAGAGAAGGAAGAGTCACAGGACATGGGCAGTCAGGGTGCGGGCTTGTCTCAGGGATGACTCACCCCACCTTCCCCTATCAGCCAGAAGCTGTACTTTCAAGGTTACCTTCAGTGGGATATCAAGGAAGCCCTCCAGCTCCTTCTCCTACCAACAAGGCAGGAGACCTCTCTCTTTAATAAGAACTCTCTCTTGTTACCTCAATTTACATGAAATTTAAAGCTCATTGTATAAATGCTACCTAAGAATGTCTCTTAAAACTTTCCAGTTAACCAAGAAGAAAAATAAAAGGCACCTGAGAAATTAAGTCAGGATGAATGGGGAGGAAAGAGCATCAATTGCCTGAAACAAGTGTGCATCCCTGGGCAGATCCACGGGGCCGGGCAGGCTTGGGGAAGACTTCCAAGAAGCCACCTGCACTTAGCTGATGAAAACTGCCTAGAAAGGCCTCAGTAGAAGGCCACCGTAATCTTCAAGTCTGTCGGTTAGCAAAGGTGTGATGAACTGTTGGTAAGGTCAAGCTGGAGAGCTGACACAGGAGAGACCACCAGAGGACGTAACGCGGGCCAGCGAAGATAATCAGGCTACCAGCTGTTGCAGAGTGCTATATCCAATTTTCACCTACCCATTTTCTCTTATTCTAACTATAACTTGCCATTCTTTTCCCAAACGTTCTTTGTTAGACAGATGTTAAGTGGAAAAGTAGAGGCTGCATTTTTTCCTAAGACCTTGCCCTTGGCCTTTCCTAAGTTCATAGAGAACAGCCATGAGCAAACAGGACCGGCCAGCCTCCAGCTGCCTTCCCAGACGCCTTCTGCCAGGGCTGTGGTGTGCCCGTGAAGGCCAGGAAAGGAAGGACCCTCCTGCCAGCGGGTGAGGCTGAGCCAGGAGGAACTCTCCAGCGGCAATGCCGTGGCCTCGCAGCTGACCTCGCCATTCATTCCATTCCAAGAGACTGGTCCAAGCCTGCCACAGGTATTCCAGTTCCCTTGCCAGCAGTAAGGACAGACCAGCCCACCTTTAGCCAGGAAGGCTGTTAAAGGTGGATGTGGGACCCTACCCTCGGGGCTCTTGATGCAGTAGGTATGGGATGAAGCTTAGACACCTGTGTTTCTAACAGGTACCTAAGTACTGCTGGTCCAGGAGCACATTGCAGGAGCCATGCTTTGCGCACAGGCAAGCCAGCCAAGTGTGCTCAGATTGAAGAGACTGCCGAGGGACTTCTGGGGAAAGCTTTTCACTCATAAAGAGACTAGAGGAGACAACTCTCTTTGTCCTCGGCACTATCTGTGATGATGAAGATATTCTTTTATCTGCTGTTCATTATGGTAGCCCCTGGCCACAGGTGGCTATTGAACATTTGAAATGTGGCAAATAGGACTGCTGAAACTAGACATTTTAATTTTGTTTTCACTTTAATTAATTTGAATTTAAACAGCCACCTGTGGCTAGTGGCTCCTATAGGACACTGGAGGCCTGGACACTGTCAGCTCTCAATGGGATGCCAAGAACTGTGGCCACAGGTGCCCTGCCATCAGCCTGAAGGGATATGGTGTGGGATCCCAGAGCCACAACCCAACATGCAGCCCCAACTCCATTCTTCTTATTATGTGAGGCTGCACAATTCATTCTGTGTAAGGCAGTGGGCACAGGTATCCCCACTGCTGCAGCCAAGGGCCTCTGGGCCAGTACAGGACCAGGACATTCAGGTCAAGCCACAGAGAAATGGGGCTCCTTCCCCAAAGACAATGGCAATTGCACACAAAAGAACGAGAGGAACACAACTTGGCTCCTGGTGAATAAAGAGGTTTTGATCTGAAGGGGTGCAGCCAGGTCTTTCAGGTTCCGGGCTCAGACAGTGAAGGCTCAGACTGCTACAGGAAGCACAGCAGAGCACTGCTCTCTGCCTGCCTGCCCGCCTGCCTGCCAGCAAGGACCCAGGAACACTGGTGAGCCCCTCCATCCGCAGGGCAGAAGCAGCTACAGGTGTGTGGAGAACCAAATGGTGGGTCACTGACAAGATGCTTCTTCCAGAGAAGGCAAAGGTCCAGTGGCAACATCTTCCTACTCCTGCTTGCAATGTCACTATTAAGAATGCATGCTGCAGTCTGAACAATACTCTCTCTGGAGTCCCCTTTTAAAATGCAAAACTTCTAGAAAGGTACCACTTTATGCATTGAAGTGTCAATGTCAATGTGAACTAGTCTGTCAAATATCTGTTAGATCACTGTACCTTTTTCCAAGGGGGAGCAGGGAGCTGGGAAAGGATGAGGCAGGAGAGGCATAAAAGGGGCACTCAGGGCTCTACCAGGTCCCCGCTTCACAGCTTCACTCATGCTGACTGCCCCACCTCATGGGCTCCCTGAGAGCCAGGCCCGTTTTCAAAATTTCAACAGTCCCATACCACATGAACATGAAGGCAGAGTCTAGGGTGATAAACATATGCAAGTCAAGGAACATCAAAGAGTGCTAGCAAAATGCCAGAAGAGAGGCACGAGGCCTAGAACAGACCCCTCCCCAGTGCCTCCAGACCTCCTGCCTCCAGAACTGTGAGAGGACACATTTTCTGTGTATGTCACTCAGTCTGGGGCACTTTGTTATGGCAGCCCTAGAAAATGAGTACAGTACATCCCTACCAGTACCCGTCTTACTGGCCTGACCTCACTAATTGTATTTACTTCCACTGTCTCCTCCATAGGCCCTGAGATCCACAGGCATAGAGACGACCTATGTTAGCCAAGTTAACATATCAAAGGTATGCCCCTGACTAGTTCTGGAATCTCTGGCTGAGACAGACTTCCCTTCTCTGTGTGTCAATTTCCACCACCCCCCCATCTGTCCATATGGAAGAAAACAAAATAATTGGACCAGGTGACCTCTGTGAGCCCTTCAAACTCAGAAACTCTAGGACCCACCACTGAAGGTGTCTCCATCCATTAAGGTCATATGAGGACATCGGAAACCGCACTAGGGCACCACACTAAACACAGGGCACGTGACACAGGGAAGCGGGGTGGGAAGGCAGGGAGACTGAGACAACCTTCCTGATGGACTCGCCACTCCTATCCACAGGGTAACACATGGCCCCAGACTATAAAGGATAGTCTCAACAGGGACCCATCTCATAGACAGTGGTCCGTGAAGTAGGGGCACTTGGGTAGGGGCACAATAGGCTCACTAAGAAGTCTCACACCCTGACAGAGTGAAGAAATGGCAAAACGTATGTCCCCCCCAGCACCCACCTCCCTTTTAACACCAGAGCCAGATTTCTGCCCTTCTCCATTAAGAGGACATATTGCTGATGACAGAAAATGTGAATGGAATCAACAGAAGACTCCATGAACCATCTAACAGGTGAGGGCCAGCTTGCTATCTCATGAATCTGGGACTGCCCTGGCCCTCCCGGTGTCCTCCAGGAAGGGGGGCACCCAGAAGGTAGTACTCACCCACACTGCTGAGGGAGCCACTGCTCTCTGAGTCTGAGGGCATGATGGACAAGACGCTGGAGGTGGAGCCTGAGGACAGAAGGAGACACCACGTGTTACTAACCCCAAAGGGGTCTCTTGTCTCTACCCCAAACCACTGTCAGACCAACGAAGCTTCGGTCAATGCCAGGCTGAGAACCAGTGGCACACCTGAGACGAGAAACCAAATCTGAGAGGCCAGGCAGGGGAGGTGCAGGGGTGCAGAACCTAGACTTTGGTGTTTCTGCCTGGTCTTCCACCCACCTTCCCACCACCCTCCTGCTCTGGAGACTGATCTAGGCATGGGCAGTGGGGAACTTGGAGTCAGTCAGGTGGCTTCTTGCTGGGACAACTGAGGAAAGGTTCAGCAAGGAAGCAACATGCCGCAAATTAAAGTGGGGACTGGCGATTTCCTACAAATCTTTATCAATACGATTCTGCCTTCCTTGCAGAGGGTAACAGAGCATAAGTTAAACAACTGTGAACTATGTGTTCTTTTTGCCTGACTATTTAGCTCTTAGGTTCTAACTATATTCAAACTTAGTACTCAATAACTGAGTCAGGCACTGCCCCCTATTAAAAGTTACCCATAAAAATAGATTGAAAAATACAGACTACAGACTGGTGGTTCCCATAAGGGAAGGAGGATGGGTAACATAGGTGAAGGAGAAAAAAAATTAGAATGTTTGATATCCTGAACTGGTGATGGTTATACGAGTATATACACATGTCAAAAGTCATCAAGCTGCATGGATTAATACCTAGTCTACAGGCAGACACCTGATCATCTACATTAGCCCTCTTACAGCACTAAACTATGTTTTATACCTTTATCTTGCATCTACCTACCACTTCAGCATTTTATTTAAAAAAAATAATAACAGTAACAATAATAAGGGAGAAGTGTAGGATTCACATATAAATCAAGTATAAAAATCAAACGAATATTCATATTTGACCTGATTGTTTATAGTTCATAATGCGTGATCAAAACCGAAAGTTTCTGTGATGACTGCCCTTGCACTGTTCACCATGTAAGAACTTATTCACTATGTAAGAACTTGTTCACCATGTAAG